AAAAAGTGATATTTTCGACTTCTTGTTGAAAACCGCAAGTCCAATTGCTTTGATATTACATATATAGGTACTACATGTGGACCTCTCTCAGATTTGTTCATTTCATAATGATATCTTTAATTCTCTAATTTTGATGAATATTTTTGTAATTTTTGGTAAAAAGTGATATTTTCGACTTCTTGTTGAAAACCGCAAGTCCGATTGCTTTGATATATTATACATATAGGTACTACATGTGGACCTCTCTCAGATTTGTTCATTTTCTAATGATATCTTCTGTTCTTTAATTGCCATGTGCATTGCTAACAGCGGAGCTATCTCAGCCGACAGGCTGCTTGTTAAATTTACTGCTGGCAGATGAAGCATAGATTCTTTGAAATGTTTACCAAGACAGTGAGCTCTACACACTTTACATATGTGGTAATTTGACAGCTTCTTCTTTAATTGGCAATTATGACAGTTCACGTTTGCATAATGTACATAACACACATTTGTCAGTTTCATGCACAATTTGTTGAATGTTTTTAGGCAATGATGTTGTGATTTATTTAACTCACGTACCTCAATGTGAACTTCTTGCATGTCCAAATGGAACTTTTACCTTGTTTTTCTTTTGTTGTTACCTCAAGGGTAAAGAGTTTTATCAAAACAGCGACTTTGATATCCACGGTTTTCTTTCACAGAACTACACATTATCCTCGGCCATGAATAACCTGTAGATATTTGTATGGCCTACAGCATGTACCGTAAAATCTGTTTTAGAAGCCGCATCCCTAATAGAAGTCGCATTCATTCTATTTGAATAATTGAGAACCAAAAATTCATCATTTCTCATATGTGTAGATGCTCTAATAGAAGCCGCATCCCCTCTGTTGCATTGTACCATTTTATAGAAGCCGCGGCTTTTAATACAGTTTTTACAGTAGTCAAGAAAATCTGTTTACCTATGTTAATGTTACACTATAACAAGGGAATATAGGGTCTCATACATTAGTAGATATTACTGTAAACTGATATGTATTTGATGATATCTTTCAGTGCAAATGCTGAGTTGGTGAAGTCTTTTACTAAATTGACAAAGACTTTGTATGACAATACTAAAGATCTAGAACCAAACTCACTGTCAAGGCTTATTATTGAGAACTTTGATGATGAGCAAATTTGGCAGGAAATTGAACTACAGAATGAACCAGTAATTTTGGATATGGTCGCAAATGTTGCTAAAGTGTTTGCAGCTAAAGATAATCTCACGTTGCTAACGACAAGTGATTCAGAAGAAGATGAACTTAGAGATTCAGAAGGTGAAGAACATAGTGATGTTGTTAAGGCTGAATATGATGGCAGTCAAGATTTATTTCCTGAACTAAATGAGAAACATTTTAAGATGGAAAGTTCAGAGGAGTCGGACTCTGATTTTGATGACTCAGACTTTGAAATTACTGAACCTAAAGTAAAGACAAAACACAAACCTCAAGGGAGTAACATTAAAAGAACAGAGCCATCTGTTGTTGATGATTATTTTTTTAATTTGGCCGATATGGAGAATTTTTTAGTCATGGAGGATGCAAAGGAAGAAAGGAAACGAAAGAAAGAAGAACAACATGATGATGAAAGTGAGGATGATGACGAGATTGATATGTTTGATGATATTCCATCCACAGATGAAGAGGATGATGCTGATGAGGTAAAAATACAACTATTCCAAGTGTGGTTGAAAGAATCCTTCATTTTTATCACTAATTAATATTAATTAATATGTGCTGAGTTTTTCACTTTGAATAGCAAGACTAGTTTCATCTTGCTCTGTGTTATCTCTTACAAGGTTAACTGGACAGAATATTACAATTATACTTGTTTAGTTCAGAATGTTGAGTATGAAAATACTTATACGCAGAAACTTGCTCTTAAGTTGTGATTTTTTCAATTTTCTAATTCTTTTTTGTTGTTGCTAGGGTGAAAAACATTCTAGAGATTTGAAGTATCAGGATTTCTTTGATGAGCCAGGTGATGTAAAAAGCACATCTGAAAAGAAGAAAAAAGTGAAATTTGATGTTGCGATACAAGAGAATATGCATGAAGTTGATGAAGAAGAGTGAGTTTGATGTGTGACCATCTGTCCATCCGTCAATCTGTTTGTTCAGTCATTGTATGTAGGTGTATCTGTTGAACCATTGTTGATGTGTGCCATGTAGATTCAGATTTATGCATGTTGTAAAATACGTATATTCTTAAATCTATCATATCATTTGTTCAGATGAAAACTTGTAGTGGTTTCATTAAGAGACGACTATTGACTAAATAGATTTCCAGTTGGCTTGTTAAGTTGGTTATTTTGTGTTCAAATTAAATATCTCAATCAATAAAAAGAAAACCATGACTTTTAACATGGATGAGGAAATTAAAGCCAAACCATCACTAATTGGCACCACACCATACAATTTCAAATATTTAGGACATTTGATCATAAAAACTGATAAAGGCTGTTCCTGTTACTTCAACTCTCGCATTCCATCTGATTTTTAAAAATGGAATGTGCTGAAACATGTATCAACTGATGGAAAAACACTGATATCCACCCAATCATGTATACCTAGACTGATATCCACCCAATCATGTATACCTAGACTGATATCCACCCAATCATGTATACCTAGACTGATATCCACCCAATCATGTATACCTAGACTGATATCCACCCAATCATGTGTACTTAGACTGATATCCACCCAATCATGTGTACTTAGACTGATATCCACCCAATCATGTGTACTTAGACTGATATCCACCCAATCATGTGTACTTAGACTGATATCCACCCAATCATGTGTACTTAGACTGATATCCACCCAATCATGTGTACTTAGACTGATATCCACCCAATCATGTGTACTTAGACTGATATCCACCCAATCATGTGTACCTAGACTGATATCCACCCAATCATGTGTACCTAGACTGATATCCACCCAATCGTGTGTACCTAGACTGATATCCACCCAATCGTGTGTACCTAGACTGATATCCACCCAATCGTGTGTACCTAGACTGATATCCATCCAATCATGTGTACCAGCTGACACCTATATAGTGTTCAAGTGATATCCACCCAATCATGTGTACCAGCTGACACTGATGATGTGGACTGTGTCATATATGACTTGTTAGTTTCAGTGATGTTAAAGATAGTGATAGTGGTAATGAAATTGAAGAAAAAAATCAACCAGAAAGTAGTGATGGAGAAGACATCAGAGATATTCGTGGAGGACATGAATTTAAACCAAGGTCAACTTATGAGAAAAGACAAGTTAAGGTAACCTTTTAAATGTTTTTGTGCCAGGCGACAGTTCTGGACATTGAATGTCACTGTTGTCTCTTCTGACTTTTTTCTATTTTGTAAGTGCAAATTTTGCTAGTGCTGACACATGGTGCATTTTGCCACAGAAGTAATTTCCTGTTTGGGACTACATGACAGGGCCGTGAGGTAACTGACTTACATGGCACCATAGAGAGCATTATCATTATGCATTGTTCAAGTTTTTGTAAATGCTACAATTACTGTTTAGGTTTACTATAATTTATGATTGAGTAAATGAATTAGACAGACAGCACAGTATGTTAAATTATATTTATATTTAGTTGTGTTTGAGCAGGTTAAAATAAATTCATCATCAATAATACACAATTTTATGCATTTACCATATTAGGTTCAGTTTTGTATTGAAGGTACATATTTGTCTTGACAAACAATCTGGGATGTCTTTGGCATAATCTATATGTACCTGTATTCTTCCCAGGTGTCTTA